AATTTGGGCTAAGAAAAAAGGGAGTACAATAATATAATGTTGGTGCCCATTAATATTATCTAATTAATTAGAGGAGTGGGCTTGGCCCACAGTTAGTCTAATTAATTAAGGAGCTCTTTTCCTAATCTCCTAAGGGTCCCTATTGTAGCTCTATATATACATCATTAAGCTCATGAGAAGAAGAGAGTTCACATCTCACGTGAAACACAACTCACATGCCACTCTCTCTCTCTAGATCTCAGTCGAGCTTTATCTTCTTCTTGTTGCTCCACTGATACAAGTTGAAGAAGGGTGTATTGAGTAATATAGTAGAAGATCTGTAGGTAAACTGGGACGAAATGTATTTTATCCTACAGAACTAACCAGAGGTCCGATTGAGGAGTGCAGCATACCCAACGACCGTCTCGACGAGATCTTTCCATCTCCGCTGAGACCGCCGCCGCCGCCACACACGCCCTCACGCGCCGCCGGAAGCTCCCTGACTGCAAGATTCATCTTCATCTGTTTGCACTTGTTTGATCCGGTTTTGATCTGATCTTGTTCGTGCAACCCAAGACGTGATTTGCAGTCAACCGTTTGTGGTCAACCAGATCTACATAAATTTTAAGCCGTAAGTTCTCTACGTCAAACCTTTAGATCCGCTGCACATAGGTTTACGTTTGCTATTGAATTCGTGAATTGTACATAACGAGATCCTCATAAATCCCAACAACAACATGGTGTTCCAATTCCAGCCACCCTCTTCCATGAGTTCAGCTACCATAGTTAAGGTGCAATTAATTCCATCTTTAACTTTAGGAACACCTGATTGAGAATTTGGCACCCATGGGTCAAAGAATATTCTAGAGGATACACCATTTCTGATTTCCCTTCTAAAGCCCTGTTTGTGTTTCCTTAATACCTTCATCCAAGATTGCCACATCCAAGAAGGGCATCCAGGTTTTGAGTGTGCTGCCTGAATGATGGAACCTTCTGGAAAGTACTTCCCCTTTAAAATTTTGCTGACAAGTAAATTGGGGTTAGTGGTCATTCACCAAATTTGCTTTCATATCAGAGATTCATAAAATAAACGGATAGCTTGGAATTCTAGGCCTCTATTACTTTTGGGGGTAGTAATAGATGCCTAAGACTTCCTATGTAAACTAGCCCTCTGATTTTCACCCTTGCTCCACCAAAAGCCAGAACTAAGTATTGTTATCTCCTGACAAGTGCCCTTAGGAAGAAGAAAACATGACATAGTGAAGATGGGGAGAGCATTGATAAATGCTTTAAGAAGCACCTCTTTTCCAGCATCTGATAAAAATCTATTCTTCCAACTGACAAGTCTGGATCTTACTGCTTGCACAACCCGCATATTGTTTTGTATGTGAAATCATATATTTTATTATTTTAATGTCGTTATGCGATCACTATGAGAAATGTCCGACAGTAAGGTTTGTTTAGTTTAGGCTGCTCGGGTCATGGTGCTTTCGTACATCCTTGCAACAACAACAACAACAACATACCCAGTATATTCCCAACAGGTTGGGGTTTGGGGGGTCAGTTGTACGCAGACCTTACCCTTGTAATTATACAAGGAGGCTGTTTCCATAGCGACCCAAGGTGCACTGCGCCGTTTGCTATATTTTTTTTTTCTAGAAACTTCACTAATAGAAGAAGCAATAGAATTTAATTGAGCCATTTTGATCTAGTACATTATTAGCACTATGCCAGGAGAATTGTCAACAATGACTCTTCCAGCTCCATTTACAATGGACAACCTTTTGTACATCCTTGCAACTGAGAAATTTTTGTAATGGTTGTCAACGAAATCTATTATATCAAACCTGGCTTCCCTATTACATATCATAAATTTGCCATTAGAATAATAACATGATCAAATGCATCAGTCGATTTATATCATCATAGATTTATTCATAGATCATTTGATGAACAAGATGTTCAATAGGAAGAGGAGAATTGAGAGAAAAGAATAAAGAGGCATTTCATTAATTGGGAAAAATGGATAGTGAATGTATAGAAATTCGTTTTGCCACTATTTATACTATATGACTTTACAACTAAAAGTGTTATTTCTAAAATACAAATTTAATACAACTGAAAGTGTAAAATACAAACCATCGACTTTTATTTTGGTTGTTATGGTGCCATTTAGGACGTGCTTGGATACAAATATATTCGGTCAAAATGAGTGTTTTTTTTTTTTATGTTAATCATTATTAATTTTGAAAAAATTGTGGTAGATTTGTTGTTGGTGGAACTTTGAGTTTATATTAAACTTGATTTGATGTAGAAGTAGGATAGAAATGATGTGAAATGATGGTTAGTTAAAATTATGTGAGTGGATGAATGGTGAATTTAATGTGTAGTAATGATTAATTGATATTATTTAATTATATTGGAGATAGTGGAGTTGCGTTAAAATTTAAATGTGAATTGAGTATGAATTAAGTTATCTATATATATCTAAAAAGGTTGATTTAAAAATCCTTTTTTATAAACCTAAAAATAATTGAGTTGACTTTTGACTTTCTATTTATGTATTCTACTTTAAAATCGGAAGAAAAATCGTGAAAAGGCAGTGGATATTTAGCATGAAATTTGCGTTAATTAAGAAAATGGATATTCTCCTTAATAATGGTAATATTTTCGTTAATTAAGCATGTGAAATTGATTGTCCGTTGCAAAAATCATGGGACTTACTATCTATCTAAATACAATCCATAACTATCTTATCACTTTTGGTTAATAAAAAATATGTGAAATTGATTGTCCGTTGCAAAAATCATGGGACTTACTATCTATCTAAATACAATTCATAATTATCTTATCACTTTTGGTTAATAAAAAATTATATAAAAGGTTATTCATTACCACCATTACAACTCATCATTCACGAGTTCAGAGAAAAAAAAAATACAGAGAATAATTTTTTATCGTACACTTGATTCCGTTAACAAAAGAAACAAACTTTTTTTGCGTCTGAGAGCACCCCGCATTATTGAAACCCATCACGAACGGGAGAGCTGTAACGCATGCATTCCATATACTATTTCATGATGAACATGTAATATTTACCTTTGTTATTTCAATTTTATATAATTTAGAAAATTATTTTAATTAATATTTATAAATTTGTATCGTAGGGTGCTTTCATTAAATGCATAATACGTTATCCGAATATGAGAGCAACAAACTTTATATAAACTGAGAGCAGTCTAATTTTTGTAAAATATGTAAACTTTAAACGTGTTTTATATATAAAATTGTATATACTTTTAAACATGTTAGTTGGACAAACTTTAAGGATATATATATGTGTGTGTATGCTAACTTTAAGTATATATATTTTTCTTATAAAATAGTCTAGACAGAATTGAGGTAATTTCACATTTTTCGATAATAATATAAAATATTTTAATACTTTCACATATGTTATATAATAGTCTACGTATTCTTAATGTCTTTTGGTTGTAACATTGTTAACACATATAATATTATATACTTTTAAACATATTTAGATAATTTTTTTACTCATTCTTTAATATCTATGTGCATAAAAAGAGAATAAGATTTATAAAAGATTTTCCGGCAATATACTAAATGTTAGATAAAAAATCTCATTTTATTTGTTATATAATATTTTGAGTTGCATTAATTTTGATTTGTATGTGTAAACTTGATAAATTAAGCGTATGAAAAGGAGCGTACGAATTACTGTAAGGATTTAAAAAATAAAAAATAAATCAAATTTTTTAATATTTTCTACTAACTTCTAAACGAATTTATGTCATAATTCGTCATAATTTTCCCACATCATGTCAATATTAATTTTATATATACTAGGTAAAAGGTAAATCATTTTATCAAGATTTATTCTATATATTCTAAGTAAATCTTCTCATCCATCTCAACGGTCCGCAGGTAGCATTTCATACTTTTCTATTCATAATCAAATATATCAAAGCTTCACAAATTTTACTTCACAAAGAAAGTGTTCAATAATTTATATTTTTTTCCCTTCATTGCAATCCATTTATTTTTGTTACATATATATAAATTATATTATTTTTAATATTTCACACGTTAAACATTTCAAGAAAATATACCATCCCGTGCATCGCACGGGCTACGCGCTAATTTTATATACAAACATACCCTTAAAATCTCAGATGAACTATTTTTGAATTATCCCCCTATATATAATTTCAGAATACTTTGAACCTAAGTGACAGGCTCGCACGTTTCAGATTCCTATGTAGCATGTTCTTATGCTTTGTCAATTGGCTTTGATGAATTTTAATTATTTTCAATAAAAAAATAACTAGGCTTGGGATATCTAAAAATATACTGGATATTTATGAATCTTTTTAAAAGCATAATTAAGTTATAATATTATTTCGTATTCTAGACGTGGTTTATAAGGTATAATTTTATTCTCCAATCTTTCTTTTTTCTTCATCTTTCTTTCATAATTACAAAAAAAAAAATAAAAAAACTAAGATAAATTATAGATATATTTAAAAATTAAATAACATTTTGATTATGATCATATTTTTCATAAGTATAATATATCAAATTAATCATGTCTTGGTGAAATTCGATTTGACATCTGTATTGTAAATAAAATTAAATAAATAAATATATTTATCTTTATAGTAAAAATTAAATTATATATTAATGTTAATTGAAAAAATTATTTAAATTAGTTTAACTAAAAATTAGTTATATGCTATAAGTTAAAAAAATATTATAATATAAGATGTTAAGTCGTATAAGTGACGAGTATCATTTCAAAAATATAAATAGAAATATAGTTTTTTAAAAAAATATTTGAATGTTTTTTAAATTTTAATTTCAAATAAAATTTTTTCATAAACACTCGTGTAATACACAGATATTTATTAGTTACAGTTTAAAAAAAAAAAAACAATATGTAGTTGTATTATATGGTTTTAAACACAGTAACCACCCCCGCCCACAATTTCTCTCACCAGCTGCTTCAATAAGTACAGCCTTTTTCATTTTCTCTTTTAATGAACTCCCGCTTTTTCCTTTTTGCAGTCCTTTCTGAGCTCATCATCATAAATAAATTTATAAGAAAACCAACTGAAACCCCCAACCGCACGCGCCCCCACTTTCTCTGCCAAATTCTCAGCCCAAACTGAAAAGGAGGCCCTAAAACCACTACAATCTCTCTTGTATGTTTCCGCGTGCAATCCTCCCATCAATGGCGGCCAACCACTACAATCCCACCGCCCATGGCGCGAATTCGTCTGCTCCAGCGCAAGAACCCGACGACATTTCGCTTTTCCTTCAGCAAATTATCCTCCGATCTGCTTCCTCGTCGTCGCAGCCTGCTGAAACGCGCCGCCCTTCTTTCGCCGCGCCGTCGGATGATCTTCTGGCTGGGAACGGAGGATCCGTGACAGGTCTTGGTCAGATCCACGTGCCAGACCACCGCCGGCCGGTGCTGAACTCGTCTTCTGGGTTTTGTTTCGCGTCGCCTTCGTCCGCTGGAAAGCTGGACAGTGAGGCGGATGAGTATGATTACGAGAGTGAGGTATTATTTTAGTAATTCACTTTTTTCCCCTTCATTTTTGTACTGTTATAGCACTGTATAGCTTGGGTCCATTTTTCCAACACATGCTGTTTTCTATTCGGATTTTTATGCTCATCCTTTTCTTTTGGAGTGTTTTTTCCCTTTTTGGTATGACAATTGAATTTTAAATTAATTCTGACGGCATTCGTTGACGTTGGCCATGTGAAGGAGGTTATAGAAGCAGTGGTGGAAGAGACAGTGCCAAAACCAGCTCAAAGGAGTTCTTCTAAGAGGAGCCGAGCAGCTGAAGTACATAATCTATCAGAAAAGGTATTTTTTATTTTCTCGTTTTTTTAAAATAAAAATTGATTGTTATTCACTCTATTGTTGAGATCATGGGATGTGTTTGCCAGAGGAGAAGAAGCAGGATTAATGAGAAGATGAAGGCATTGCAAAATCTGATCCCAAATTCAAACAAGGTGAGAGATAAAATTAGTTCTTATTGTTGTCTGCTTGGCCTTTTCATTTTATTCTTTTGTTAGTCTTTCAGAGTTTCCTTTTGCAAAAACATCTCATTTCAGTCGTGATCCAAGTTATCTTGTGTGTTTGGTTTAGACGGATAAAGCTTCCATGCTAGATGAGGCTATCGAGTACCTCAAGCAGCTCCAGCTCCAAGTGCAGGCAAGTGGAAAACTGTTATGTGAAATATATCTCACAGCCCTTGTGATTTCTGTACTTGCATTTACTTGGCAGTGAAACTGTATGATCAACATGGGGCAGATTGCTATTACCTACTACAGCTGACTTATTTCAAATTGAAAATCAAAATTGTGAATTTTATGGAAGAAAATGCTGTGTTTATTCTTGTGTCATAATCATGTAGACATCAACGCCTTTCTGCTTTAACGATAGTACACTGCAAAGTGGAAAAGCTGCAAGTCACATGTTCAAATTTCACAAATTAGGAATGACACATCTGTCATGCCACAATTCTATGTGTGTAATAATTTTTTCCAAACCACATGTTATAATTTTTGTACCTGCCTTTGAAAGACTTTTTGCTTGCAAAAACTGCAAAAATTATACCTTAGAAAGGTCTGCCACTGCAATCCTGAGTTCCTGCAAATTGAAGCAGATTTCTCTGTCATGATCTAATCTAATATGAAATTGTGTTAATTCTATGGAATTTTTTTTAATTATATAATGACGCTTTCGAGACTAACAACATAATAGTGTGTCGAATCTTGAACACAATCGTAGAACACCAGTTTCAATGTCGAAGAAAATGCTTTATAAAATGAGGCCAAGGTCTTTCTCTCTCCCTCCTCTCGAAGCTCATATGTCATATATGACATGTAATGTGTTTGTACAGAGTAACATTTTGTGAGTTAACATAATCCAATCTTGTAGATGTTGACAATGAGAAATGGATTGAGCCTTTATCCTATTTGCATGCCGGAGATAGTGCAGCCTAACCAAATGTCTCAGATGAGGATGAACACGTATGATACAGACAAACTCTCGAGTCTACAAATGTCAAAATCTATTTCTATGGATCAACATATGCAGGCAGATAAACTACTCAGCGTGCAAGAAAAATGCGTTATTGAGGCACCTGCAACTGATTTCTCAAGTATAATTAATTCAAAAGCTTCATTCCAAGTTGAGTCATCTCATTTTGGTACCTTTCAACACTCCAAACCCTACGAAGTAAGTGGAGTAATTGTGCTTCCTTTTTTCTTCCGCTGTTATTTTCCCTAGCAAATTCCACAATTTCGAATAATCCATTGAACGGTTCTTGCTGAATAGGAAACTTGTGAGGAGAAAGTTCAGCTTGGTGTACCACTTGATGATGACCGTCATCAACATAACTTGACAGGTAGAACCTTGAATCCAAGCTCATGTTTTGTTTCATTTTGCTCTTTCATAGTCAATGTGCATGTCTATCAATTTGATTTTTCAAACCTACAAATTGCCATCCTACCATTGCTAAATATAAACAGATTTGGAACTTTTTTGCAGTTATGTAAAATTTAATTAGCTTTTTGGTAACTAGACTAGCTCTTGAGTGTTATGTTTGTGATTAACTCTTTGTAGCATTGTGGATTGTCGTGTAGGGTCGAAAGTAACATCTTCAGTCCCTTCTGCAGCAAACTTGCCGAATTCGAAAGAAAATACTTTAGAAGCATGCCTACCTGGCGGAGATCACATACTGCAAAACTTTGTCAATCACCCGATCTTCTCGTCACATTTGGACATATGACTTCTTTGCAAAGGCATGCCGGTTAATGACTCAACATCAAGTTTCGAACTTTTTAGTTTCACTACCCTCGCTCTATATATATATATATACATATTTAGGTAGCCAGAGTTGATATTCTTATCCGACCGCTTGCAGTCATTGCATGCATGACGAAAAGCAGTTGACATTTTGTTATTTATGTGATGTTGCCGAGCAGCAAAAAGGTTTAATGATCGAGTGTTGTTAATGTTATTAGGAAATGGTATTTAAGGTGTGTGGAATTACAAGTTTTGAGACGTCTGGTTGATAAGATATGTAATTGTGGGTAATGTAATTCAAATTTTAACTGGATTTGATTTAGATTTGAGCTATATATAAATCTTGTCGAGAAGATTTGAGAGAGTCATGAGCATATTTTATCTGTACGTACAGATTTATATCAACGTGTTCGGAGGTGCAGAGCCAGCTGAACGTAGTAGACTTGACTTCATAATAATGTGTATATATAAGAATAATAATCATAATTTTTACACTTTCATTTCTTCTCTGTTACTGTTAGTATTCTGACCCAACCACATGCATATGATGTATGTAATGCATAACATCAACATGAACTATACATATAAATATAGATTTATATTGAATTTCGCATTAAATAAATTTGATCATTTTGTCGAATTCTTGAACTTAAACTTTTTTAACTTTAGTAAATTAATAATATGCATTAGACTACTAACAATACCAATTAATCAACATTATGACAGCTATTATGGAAACGAATGCAGACCAATTAATGCACATTAACATTACAATAATGATAATAAATTGATAAACAGTTATATTGGAAAATAATTGCTAAAAATGGCAAGATATTTTGAACCGTAAATATAATTTTTATAAAATACTTTTCGTNTACTCATCAATGCACTATGACATTCATTCATTTCTATATGCAATCGTGTTTAGTTTATTCTTTTAAAAATTCAGCATTTTTTTACATAATTAAAACAATAATTGCTGGACCTTTGACTTTTGCCCCAATATTTTTTAATTACATGTTATTTCACCACATAAATAATAATAATAATAATAATAATAATAATAATAATAATAATAATAATAATAATAATAATAATTATAATAATTTCCAATCAACTTGTTGGTCACCATTCCTAAAAATTATAAAAATTGTATTATTTATTACAATGTATGTCATAAATATAGTGATTCATATGTAAGTTATGCAATTTGTATCTATATTGTTAATTTTTAGTAAATGTTAAAATTTTAAAATGTGATATACTCATTATCTAACTTATAACTTTAGATATTACTAGCATTCGATAATGTGCACATGCACAGATATAACATATTAAAATTATAAGTTATATAATAATAATATATTTTAAAAATTTGAACATTAGTAAAAATAAGCAGTACAAAACTTTTTAGCTTCATATGGAACACTATATTGACTGGATAAAATGTAATGAATAATGTAATTTTTATAATTTTGAAGGATCATACCAATTAATCAGTTGAGAAAAAAATAAATTTACTATTTTAAAGGGTTTGCCTATACCATTAGCACCAATTAGTTTACATAAAAGTAACCACTTAATGAGATAATAAAACTATAATATTAATTTTAGAATAAAAAATTGATGAAAAAAATTTGGTATATAAATATTTATATATTTGTAATTTTCAGTGTAAAACATACTTAGTTTTAATAATAACTATTATATAATAGAGCAGCAAAAAATATCTATAATTATTATTTGATTAATATAAAATGTAACGATTTTTGTCATAATTGCCATAAAAAAATAGTGAGAACCAAAATGTTTTTACATTAAATTATTTGTTCCTCTTTATAATTATATAGAAGAAAATATAGAATTGTAACGTCTTTTAGAAGAAAATTTATTAATATTTTATTAATTGTTTTACTAACTATTATATATATCTATATATATATATAGATATACACATAATGAATAATATTTTATTTGTATACGTGCATGTGCACAACATCAACAATTAATTTTTAATGCTTTATTTAATAGCGACAATTACTATATTTATAATTCTTCATTTTTGTTTTCCTCTATTATTAAAGGTCAAATCCCCTCTTCCCCACGAGGCCGCGACATCTAGAAAAAGGCAACTTATACACGGCCTGCCCATATCTCCGAGTAGCAACAGCAATATGACAGCCGAAAAGTATGGACCAAAAAAGAAAGAAATTAAAGACTTGCATGAGTTGGGCTATTGAATGGGCTGGCCCATTTAGTTTCTGTTTGTAGCCCACTCCTTTTCTTTTCCGGCTCCATTCACAACCCCAAGAAGTCAAGTTCAGTTTAGGATGACAAAACTGTGATTGGTGCCGTATTCTAATTTGCGTGTACCTTTTAAGACAAAATTGGTGTGATTCTTATCAAAACTCTCACGTCACACGAATCCAACATTTTTGTTATTCTTGTTGAACAATGCATCGGGTTACATATATAAACTGTTGGAATTATAATCCAGATTTGTGTTACATATACAATTTTTTTTCCCCCAAATATCCCTCTGCAAACTTTTGTACTTTTTCAATGCAAACAATTGCAAAATGTAATATAACTATTGTACAACTATTAGTATTTAGTAATACATATGCATATAAGTGTTAATAAATTTATATTTAGAATTTTTAAAAGCACAAAATATAATTTTTTTATTTAAAACTTTAAAATACTTCTTTAGTATTTGAATTATTAATATTATTTAAATTGGCACATATTATTCCTAAGACTCATCAGAAATGCTAAGAAGCCAGCAACCAATGGGACAGCTCCATGTAGAGCTGTCCCACATGGCTTTAATGTGGGATAACCCCACATAGAGCTATCTCATTGGCTGTTGGCTTCATAACGGTAAGACTCATTTGTTCTATGTTGTAATACTTTTTTACTTGTATTATATAACAAGTTTTATAGATAAAAACATTTAATTAATAAATAATATTTTTTTCAATTATGATAATTTAATATTTATTTATAAAATCAAATATAACGATTGTTAATATTTTATACTAGTAATCATGTGCGATACATGAGCTGCCGATATTGAAATTGTTTTTTATAAATAAATGTGGGGTTTATACTAATATCATTTATCATATGTTAATTATAAGAAAGATTACATGGCTTAACATGGTTACAGTCGGCCACGTATTGCTGTTGCCAATGGTCATGACCTACCTAGCCCGTCGCCCGCCACCGAGCGCGACCGCAATCGTCGGTTGGTTGAAAAGCGGCCGGCCAGCAAAATAACGTATCTCGTCGTCAGGGGCGGAAACACAGATGGGCCAGCAGGGGCACGTGCCCCTGTGAGGTGATAACTTTTAATGATCAAACTTTAAAATATAATAACATTATCTAACTTATAATGTTAATATTATATGCATAAATATAACTTATAATACTCTATGTTCAAAATATAATACTATTACTTAACATATAATTTTAATATTATATGCATATAAATAACTTATAATACTTTATTTACATCTGTGCAAATGCACACGGTCGAATACTAATTTTTATTAACTATTTTGCTCACAATTATATTTGATGCTATTTTTAATTGTGTATGATGCTATTTTTAATATTAAACGATGCTATCATTTTCACAAATGTTAATATAAATTGTAGTGCTATTTTTAATAAAATACATCCTGGTTAAAAATAGCACTAAACACAATCAATCATAACACTTCATACAATTAAAAACAGTGGTTCTCACAGTTTTCACGCTAAAACTTGATTCTCATTTGAACCATATCCTATATATATACTCATCGCATTTGTTTATAAAAAAACACATACTCATACTCAATACATATTCAAATTTAACTAAACTTTAACTCAATTCACTAGCTTCACTATTATTAATACAATTAAATATTATCAATCAATAATTCTTACACATCACATTAACTTTAATTCATTATTCATCCAATCACATAATTTAATTGCCTATCACTTCAATCATTTATATCCTACTTTTATATCAAATCAATTTTAACCATTTATTTTAAGTATTATTTTAACATCTCACTATAAATTAACCAAACAAATTTTTTAAAAATCAATCATGCTTAACTCAAAAAATCTGTAAAAAAAATGGTTTATTTGTCCAAATTTTCCCGTGCTTTCACCCAACCCATACGTTTGTATATAAGAAAAATTCATTTTATACTCAATTTATGCTCAAAATTTAATTCAATTTTAACTCAAATCCACTATCCTCAATATTATCAATATAATAAAATAATATCAACCAAACCACTCATTCTTACACATCACATCAACTTTAATTTACTATTCTTACACTCATATAAATTTAACTAACTATCACCCCACGACGAAGAGGGTTGAGCGCAGTGGCGCATACCTGGCTCGGCGTATCCCACATCCCGAGTTCCAGTCACCTGGAGGAGAATTGGGGAACCAGTATTAATCCTCCTTTTTTAATAGGAAGAAGAAAAAAAAAAAACTAACTATCACCCCACTTTCTCTCTCAAATGGAATACCTTTAAACTTTAATTATTTTATTATAATAATATTTTAATATAAAATTACATCTTACTATCACCTAAGTATACACTCTTTCAAAATTAACTCTAGCTCACGACAAAACTCATTTTGAACGAAAATAGTTGTATACAAACACGCTTACAATTTTATATATATACACGGCAAACACTGTGATTTGTGAAGATACTACCATAATCAAATTCCCCTATACATTGTGAATATACAGTTGCAGTCAGGTAGATTACTGAATTGGATTGAATTTAAAAGCTCTTGGAAGATATAGAAATCAATGGCGGCGGCTGGGAAGGTGTCGAATGGCCCCCACGAAGAAGAGGAGCTGACCGGAGGTATCGACGGGCCGACCAATCCAATGGTAACTCCTCTGTTAACTGATCTTTATCAGTTCACCATGGCGTATGCTTACTGGAAAGCTGGCAAACACGAAGAACGCGCAGTGTAATTTGTTTCTCGTCCTGTTTTTGCAATTTTTTTCAGCTGGATTAGTTATTCGACGATCGCTTAATTTGCAGCGGATGAGTTCAGTAGCTCTTGTTACCGGATTGGAATGGTTTGATTGGCTATTCATCTTAGGAATTTCACCAATGCATTTTCTGACATTGCGAGGTTAATTGTATAAGTATACTTAGATAGAAAATCTCCGCTAATTGGATTAAATTTTAGGAATTGGTATGCGAGCTTTCTTGGAACTATAGCTGAGATACACGGTAATGTTTTGACGAAGGTGTTGCTTTGTCATAAGGTGGCAGGAAATGAAAAGAAAGCTTCGTTTGTTGTCTTTGTTCATGTACAACTGTACAATCTCATAGCTACTACCTTATGGCAGTGGAATGTCGTAATTCATTAGATGCTACGAGTTGTGGCCTTAGGGAAGTTTTTTAGTAATTATTTGCTGCACCACAGATTGATATAGTGAATAATTTCTCATACAAGTTTGAGAAAATTTTCATATGTGATGCTATGTTTTGTTCAGGTTTGATCTGTATTTCCGGAGGAACCCCTTTGGCGGGGAGTTTACAGTTTTTGCTGGTCTAGAAGAGTGTATCAGGTTAATTGCTAATTTTAGATTTACAGAGGATGAGATTGAGTTTATCCAAGCCTCCTTACCTCCCTCATGCGAGGTATATTGATAACTCAATAAGTTAATGTCTATGTAGTTGAGTTCTATTTAAATTATTTATAATAGTAATTAATTCTATAAGCTTCTCCGATCAAATTACTTATGTTTAAATTACATTTGTGATGTCTTGACTGTATAGACTACTAGCTTCTATCAATAATTAATGCTTAGGTGATTACAACGATGGTAGTTGCTAGAGTGTTTATGAGTGCAATTTAATGAACTGAAACTGGTAGTTTGTTTCTGAATATATTGCAATTTGCCAATATTTAAATTTCTTTGGTTAATGAGTATTAGGCAATGATGTACATAACATTGCCTATATGGTCTGTAAATTGTTCAGTCAGATTCTAGGGCTGGTCTGATTTTATTTTGTTTTTCCACGAGCAACATGTTTTACCAATTTCCGTTGCTTTTTGTTAACTACTTGATTTGAAAGAATTTGATTAGGTTATAACCTATTGTATATGTCTATCGAATTGCTTAAAATTGACACAGAAGTCGAGCATATCTTATTAGCCAAATTCATGTTTCTGTAACTTGATATTTTTTAGTCATCGTAAGCTGTACTAATCCTTGTTTGGCCTTAGATTGGTTTCTTTGACTACCTTCGTGGAATTGACTGCTCTGATGTGGAGATACATGCCATTTCTGAAGGATATGTTGTATTCCCAAAAATACCATTGATGAGGATTGAAGGACCAGTAGCTGTAAGTATCTCTTCCTCCGTACACAAACTTACCAGTCATTCCACAAGTTGGTTTTCTAAGCCGATATCCATAGTTATTACTTAAAAATGACTAGTCATTTGTCTAGGTGGTTCAATTGCTTGAAACGCCACTCGTCAACCTTATAAATTATGCATCCCTGGTTGCTACAAATGCTGCAAGGCATCGCTTTGTTGCTGGAAAGTCCAAATTACTTCTTGAATTTGGGTTGCGGCGGGCACAGGTCATAAAACTGCTCATCTCATTTGGGTTTAGAAATCTCATCCTTGTTCTAAATCTTAATATGGCTGTTTGTCATATTGATGCAGGGACCTGATGGGGGTATTGGAGCATCAAAGTATTGCTATATGGGTGGATTCGATGCTACAAGGTAATTTTTTCCATAAAACATGTACGTTATTACCATTCTTTCTATTGATGTGTTTCATTTTGTGATTCTGTTTAAAATGATGCTCAAGACTGTATTTAAATTATCGTGACTTAAGAGGCAGATGTTAAAGTCGATGCATCACTTTATGATCTGTAATTTAATAGAGTTGACTACTCTGTACAGGTCATCAGAATAATGATTTTAACTTGACATTGAGTAGATATTAAATGGCATGGATGCAAGATATAGTCACATAGATAGATTTTCAGTTATTTACAATAACACGACTTTATTGATACTTACAAGTATAGACAATGCTATCATTCTCCAATTTTCTAATTTCCAAATTTGAAAATAACTGTGCATCAGTCTTGACATGGTTTAACATTCCTGCTAAGTATTTATCATTTTCTCTTCTTTGTAATCTCTATAATTTGTTGACGAGGCTCTTTTATTTTTGCCTTCTGGTGTTGACAGCAATGTTGCCGCTGGAAAAATATTTGGAATACCACTTCGTGGGACACATTCACATGCCTTTGTCAGCTCATTTATGGTATTTATCATTATGTTCTTCAAATCTTTACTCAATATTTCCACGGATTACCATGCTTTTTTGTACCACTTGTGCTTCTCTTTTTCAATTTCCTTGCAGACCTCTCCCCGCGCCCATTTCTTTCTTGTTAATACTTGTATGATTTCTAGATCTTGTATTTGTGTGTAATCCTTTCTGTTTTCTCCCTTTCTATCATTTCACTTCATATTTTTGGGTTCTTCATTATGGGATTGGTTCTTCTCTTAGAAGTTTCCTATGTAGGCTAGGTATTTAAATTATCTTGCTGCTCCTTTTTCTTGTCATTTTCTGTAAAATTTTTTAATTCTGAGTATGTGCATAAGCTTTGGATGAGAAGAAAATGATGATTAAATGCTATTCTGCAAAAATAGGGCTGGTATAAAGTAGATTTCCAATTTGGTTTGATTTAATTCTAGAGGAAGGTAATGATGGTTCTCCTAAGGATTAGAACGGTTTATTTATAGGATAATATGAACTTGTAGGTGCCTTCATGTGAACTTGGTTGGCTCTAAGTATGGAGCCTAACAATGTGAACTAGCTTTTGTCGACTCTTCAGATGGTTATTTTAACCACTATTTTGCAGTTCTCTGAACCATTATTTGTTCAAAGTCTCACATTGTCCTGATACAACCTCCATGATTTATCCCTAATCTGAATGTCTATTAATTCTGCAGAGCCCTGATGAGATCACTGAGAAGTCACTCAAAAGTTCTGATAGCACAAAAGTATGTGCGGACTTTATCAATCTAGTGCAGGCATGGTTAAGCAAATTAAAGGTATGATTATTTATTGTCACTGTTTCCCATGCATTTGACCTTTCTCATCCTATTACAATGGTTTTCCTCATCTTTTATCCGATGCGTTACACTATGCGCTTTTCAAAACATTGGTTTTTACGCACCTTGACTCATCGTGATTGTCTGCAAAATGTATGTGATACAAATCAGTAAGCCACATCACATATCATGCTTAAGGTACTTGTTCAATCTCACATGCCGTCAGTTTATGAACCATCAGGTAGAAACCTAATAAGACCATCATCATGTGGTTTCATGGTTCAACAAAAAGTCTGAAAGTCTTACTGTCATTTGATAAATGGATATAACTCATCCACTAAAGCTGCTCAAAGGGAGAGGGTGCCACCCCCACCCTTATACACAATAACTTCCCAATAACTAATCTATCTGGGGCAAAGATAAACTTCTAACATCATTTATGATTTTTGTGCAAGCAATGAGCTGTATTCGTATTAGCTGAAACCATAACTAAGAAGTAAGCTGACAGTAATAGGGACACTCTGAACTAGTAAGTACTGTTAACATAGACACCTAATTTCAAATTCTGCCTTGATTGGAATGCTATGTTACTGATCAGATTCTTCATTAATCTTTATTCTGAGCTTGAAATAATCTGAATATTTGGAACCACTTCTGAAGAATTTAAAACCGCTGATGTATATGTCTTTTTTCACCCTTCTTTGGGGTTGCGTCGGGGGAGGAGATCTGAAGTTATATAACTTTAATTGAAACACCACCAGAAAAGATGAACAAATTCTGTTTGAAAGTTTGGTGTTAAAGAATAATTTTTGTGGACAAGTTACAACTTACTAGCCCGTAGAAATCAGATATGTATAAGAATTAAAGTGTAAACCTACTTTTGACATTTCTGCCAAATTGATTGTGAAGAGAGAAAAAGGACAGTCTTGTCGGCAACTCATTTGTGTAGCCAATTCATGTGACACACATTACTCCTTTAATTTGTGGAACTTCGGAATATATTGTGTGGTCTTAACAGCTACTTTACTTTATTATGATGACTTCTCGCCGAGCTTCACTAAAAAGATTTGATACCTTTACGGGCTTCAATCTCAAAAATACATGCATTTACATTGCTGGAAGTTGGAACATAGACTTTTTGTATATGGTTTTGCTAAGATGTAGAATTCAAATTGTCCACCTCTTCAGAGGTCACAGTTGAAGGGAATTTTCGGTGAAACAAACCCAAGTGAATTAGCTGCCTTCATCTCATATGCCCTTGCCTTTCCAAAGAACTTTTTGGCTCTCGTCGACACATATGATGTGAGTGAAAATTATTAGATTTATATCTTCCATTACTTTGAACTTATTATTTTTTATCTATGTGACTTTGTGCAGCAATCTTCATCCAATAGTTATCGATCAAAATAAGGAATTAATAAATTGAAGTCCTAAATATTAGGCTCTTATCTTGGTGAAGATGGTTTCATATGGAAACCTTTTGAATAATTTGACTTCTCTACGAATATTTACATATGGGACCGTTACTTGATCATTGCTCGGGAATGATGGTTTCACTTACACTGGCTTATTTCCATGTATCGCGTATATTACCTGTAGATTCTATTTCATTGGTCTTGTGTTATACTAATGTTTTCTCTGTAATATGTGAACAGGTTATGAGAAGCGGTGTTCCTAATTTCTGTGCAGTTGCCTTAGCTCTAAATGATTTAGGGTGAGTTAGAATGCTTGAACTGGTATTTGTACTTTATGTTGTGTGTCATATATTACTGCCTTGTTGGATGACAAGCTTACAACTTGGTACCATTTCTTATCCAGTTAGTTGGTCGATGTCAATTTTTTTTGTTAAGTAGATATTGAGTTGTTACGCATGACAGTTAGGTCGCCCGCTTATATGCCTATCTGTTTACATACATGGTGCAAGCGTGTGGAGTTGATAATAGAACATGTCAAACAATCTGTTTGTCTTATTGATGTGATTAATTTTTCAAAGTCACCTGGTTCCCCCACAGTTGCAGTCATTTAGACCGAAACATTGTTCCACAAGGGTCCTATTTATCTGTTTTTTCTCTTCTGGTAGTAATCC